GGGGGGGGGGGGTACATGGGAAGGTCTATTATATGGAATAAGACTATAAGAGAGGAGTTTTTTGCTGGTAATGTGATAGGTTTATTGTGTGAAATAAGGGAGGGGTTTTGGCTTGGTGTTTTCGGCTCTCATATGGGGGAGTGAAGTGAGTTGTTTGGTTGTGGTTTTGTAAGGGATTTTGGCAAAGGGGTCTTAAGTCAAAGGAGGGGTAATGTAGGGTTCATGGTGTGTAGTGGTGGATGGCCAAAGGAAGGAAAAAAGGAGCTAGGTTGTTCTTTGGATTTTTGGGATTTTTTTTGGTAGTTTTGGATAGGGGTGAGCATGGTACGGCATTTAGCTCGTACCGATACCGTACCAAATATTTCGGTTCGGTATGGGATTTTACATCGTACCGATCCCGATCCCGAAATATCGATTCGGTATGGTTCGGGATGGTTCGGTATCGGTTTCGGTACAAATCGGAATGAATATACATACCTACTTTACACGTTAAAATTTAACAATGCCCCTTTATTTTTGAAAATTAAAAATGAATTTAAATAATAAAAAACATGAAAAAATAAAAAAAATGAATATTTAAATGTAAGAGATGCGTATCAAAACTTAGTTTATGTTTCACAAACTAAAAAATGAACGACAACAAAGGAGTATTTTGAATCTTTGTGAATACTTCTATGTTCATACACAAAAACTAAAACTCAAATAAAAGTCTAAATTACACATAATAGAACTTGAACCAATTTTTTTTAAAATAATTATTTAGTGAAGGAATATAAAAATATTACTCCGGGGTATTACTTTTTATAATACTTTAGTATATATGTTCGGTTCAGGATTTTCGGTATGAGACGTCACCTCGTACCGTTCCCAAATACCGTACCGACCATTCGGTTCGGTATGGTTCGGTTCCTTCTCGGTACTTTTTCGGGTTGATATTTTTCGGTTCGGTATTCTCGGTTTTTTCGGGAAATTTCGGTGTCGGTTCGGTACTTGCTCACCCCTAATTTTGGATTTTGGGGTTTGATTTGGTGAAGAGGAGGTTCGGCCTTATGTGGTGTAGTAGTCCAAGAATATTAAGGATATGTTTGGAGGTTGTGTGATGAGTTCATTCCAAAAAGGATCATAATACCTAGTTATTACTTTGTTGATTTGTTGAAGGACTTTAGGATAGGGGTAGTAACCGGGGATATATCGGGGTATTCAATTTATTACGGTGTTGGCGTTTAAATCTACTCTTCAATTTTTGGATCATTTTTTCATAATTTTTTTTTTGAAAATCAGTTCCTAATTATTTGTTTGAGGAATAATAATAGTAGGAGAGGGGAGCAAAGAGCGGAGAGAGGTTTGCTCGCTGTATTGACGGCCACATTTACCTCTGAGCGCACTCTCATTCATTCCTTCCCGGCTTCAACGATACTCTTCGCGTATAACTTTCATCCAGACCGGTATAGTGGCAAATATCTTTTTGAATTTCACCCAGTATTTTTTCATAAAGTTTGAAATTGATGGCGAAGAAATCAGTTTGCAGATGAAACAGCAGGTAGATCGTGGTGTTTGATTTGGATTCGGATACGGGGATGTCGTGCTCATCGTCATCTTCTGCTTCGGAGGAGGATGAGGCAATGGATTCTTACAGGAAGGGGGGATACCACGCGGTGCGTGTAGGCGATTCTTTCTCCAGTGGTCGGTACATCGCGCAGCGGAAACTCGGCTGGGGAGAGTTCTCCACTGTCTGGCTGGCCTATGATACTAAAACATCAGTACGCGGATTTCCTCTCTTTGTGATATACTACGTATATATTTACGTATATAGATCAGCTCTTATTGACCCCTTTATTTGCTTTTTAGGAGGCATCCTTAATCTTATCCTTCTAGATGTTAGTTTTGCACAGGCTCTCTATTCCCTTTGAAGAATAATAATTTCCTTCTTTTTTATAGTGCATATCATTTCAAAATTGAACATTTCAATCCCACAATTTTTATTTCAAAATAGATTCCATTGTTACCTAAACAATTCTAATTTTGAAGATTCTTATAGAGAGAAATTCCACCGTAGTGCCTCTAGATTCCATGCCCAGAACTGAGACCTAATAACATAACCACAAACCTACACTCTCTAGAAATATTCAAGGATTACCTAAAATGTTCACTGGAGAAATATAAAAAAGGCTTACCTAAATGTGTGAGACACTCATTTGCTTTCAAAAATGCTCATTTCTAGATGTTGGATTTACAATCATAACAGTACATCTGCATGTAATATATACCCACTACATTTTTTCTTTAGCCTAACAATGATTATTCAATTGGATCAGACCTTAAATGCAATTGACCGGTTTAATGAGGAATTTCCAATCAGAGTGTTTTATTGGTTATTTCTATTTTATGTGGGAGGACTATATTTGAATCCGGTTATCCTTCGACTAACTACGATGTAGTAGTATACACTAACCTTGAGTGAGTTAATCTCTAACTAGAATAGTGGAGGCCCGGGTCTGTAAAGCTAATAACCTCTTGAACGAATTCTATATCTGAATCATAAACACCTGTCATGGCATACATGCCTGTCACAGGGTGCTCCATTTTGGCTGGAACCCCTCCAATGGAAAGAGCTTACCTATTTCTGCACAACATTGCTTCCTTGCGTAAGAAAAGTAATATGAAGAGTGGGAAAATGAAAGGGAGAAGGATTGAAAGAGAGAGAGAGAAATATGAAAAGAAGCAACGAGAAGAGACCATGTGAGAGCCTTTGATTAGAGCTCCAGAACACCTTCATTGATTCTATAAAACTTCTCTTACAAGGAAAAGACAAAGCTTAAATTCTGTCTTACAAAGTACTTCCTGCATCCCAAAACGATGTATCCAGTTTAACAGGGGATGGTTTCTAATAAAATACGGAGTAATAACTGTGTGGTTGAGAGTTGTTATGTAGAGGAGAAAGAAATACTAAGAATCATGTAACACTTTCCAAATGTATACATATGCATATCTTTTTTAGACGGGCTAAAAAAAGACATGCACATCTTCTTTGGAGTTGAGATGGGGAGGATCAATAAACCTATTTGGAAACAACTTATGTTTTCTTTTCCTGTTTCTGCTTGTACTGTGCCCTTCTGCTCATACACTACGCACACGAACACATCATTACATCACCCCACCACCACACCAAGCTTGTCCTCAAACTTGAGAGATGGAACATGCACATTGGAAATGGTCAAAAGCTCCAAAGAGGCCTATTCAGCTGGGGTCAGCCTTACTGCCTTACCCTTTGGAAGAGAATTTCAATGGTAATCGACCCGGTATCTCGATCCATTTGGCACCCAATTGCCCAATGCTACTTCAAAACCGGCCAGAGGAATGATATGCAAACAAGTGGTTTACATATATATGCCCTTGTCTATTATGGCATTATCGCAAATGCTGACATGCCTGTGCTACTCATCTGTTTCTTGTTGGACATTGCCACCTGCAAACCCGGAGAAAAATCACCACTAAGACCCAAAGGATGTGCCGTGGTTTCAGGTATGAAATGATGAAATAATGTATGCTCCCAGGAGAGGCACTTAATTAATGAGCCAGTCGAAGCCCCAACGAAGGCTTCCAGAGCAGACGTTGCAAGAGTTGACATTGAAACCCCTAGCTGGGACCAATAGCAGAAAAGTAATTATGTTCACAGAAACCTGCATAGGGCCACACAGTTGGACATTCGAGCCAAGGACATAGACATGTAGTGAGAGAGAGCCGGCATTTGTTCATGTGTGACATTCAAATAGTTATGTTCATCCAAGCCCGTGGTGTAAAGGGCGGCCTTGTACAGTTGTACCGCTGCAGAAAGCCCATGATAACTGATAAGAACTTTTGAAACTCCCTCTCACGTTCCTCTAATTTGTGGCCATGATGTTTCTGGTAAGCCAGCTTTGGACAGAGGGCCAAAACACAACAATTATCTTCCAGGTGTGGCCTGCGAGCTTGGCACACTATGGATGATTACAAAATTATGGAGGGTGGCAGTAGACGACCCCCAAACACCGGTGCATGTTGGTTGGAAAAGTAGGTTTAAGGATGGTGATTCTAATTCAGGGGATCCTCTGTACTTCCATACCGCGTAAAATCAAATTTGAAATACCTAGGAGAATCAGGAGGCGCATGTTATTCATTGCCGGAAGGGTTGCGCTGCATAAAGGGTTAGTGGTTGTTGGTCACTGACAGTGACAGGAATGATAGGTTGAGATGTGTGCCTGAAGTGGCCAACTTTTCCACTTTCTCATACAAGGCCTTCAAGGATTCCATGATTGTTATGAAAGCTTCAATGTGCTGGACTGAATATTGGAAAGCCTAGAGATAAGCTTGGAAACTTTTCAAAATGATTGCCGGCAACAGAATCAAGTATTAGGCTCCTGAGGCGTAACTACATGTCACATGGCCATCTATTCTGCTTGAAACCTCCTTCAAGGGAGAGATTTTTTCTATGGTGTTTGGCTTTCTTTTGTAGCGCTGCCTCCCTGCATAAGAACACTTGGATGAATCGGAGAGAAAAAAGATATAACAAGAGTGAGTTCAGAAGACTTTTTTTTAATTAGAACTCCGAAATTACCTTTATTAATTCTCCAGAGCTCCTCTTACAAGGAAAAGACAGCGTAAATAGAGTCTTACAAAGAACCAAGAAACCTATTCACAAACGACTCCATTCACATAAAAGTAGTTTTAATGAAAATAAACAAATATTTTCCAAAAAAAGAAAGGGATTAATTCTTATATCATATTGTGCCTTTCCTTGTTCTGCATGGACTGCGCCCGTGTGTTGAGATGAGGAAGTGTGTATAGACAAGAACAAGTCGAATACGTTGTATTACTTGATGCTTTACATGTATACCAATAAGAGGGGCACACTAATTACCTCAATTCTACTTATATAACCTAGTCAGCTGTGAATTTAGATGCACAGAAGAAGTCATATTCCTTACACGTGACTGTAAGTGTGCCCATCAAACATGTTCCTGGGTCGTTTTCTTCCTTATCTATATCAGCTTTTTAGCAATATAACGTGGTTCTTTGCAGTTTGCATTATTACCTTTCACTAGAACAATACCACTGTCTTTCATCTAATTAATCTAGCTGTGTAATTTCTAATGTTATTTTTAATTGAAATGGCATCTTGAATTGATTTACTGTTTTCTCATGCCTCATATACTAAAGAAGGAAAAACATGCAATCAATATTGACAACTCCTTTTTGCATCTGGTCTTTACCTTTTTCTCTTTGATTGTATATGCACTAGACATATGTAGCTTTGAAGATTCAAAAGAGCGCACCACAATTTGCTCAAGCTGCTCTACATGAAATTGAAGTCCTCTCTGTTATTGCTAATGGTGACCCCTCAAATAGTCATTGTGTGATACGGCTGATTGACCATTTTAAGCACACTGGCCCAAATGGACAGCATCTCTGCATGGTTCTTGAATATCTTGGTGATAGCTTGTTGCGACTGATAAGATATAACCATCATAAAGGCCTTGAGTTAAACAAAGTTAGAGATATATGCAGGTGCATTTTGACTGGTCTAGATTATTTGCACAGAGTACTTGGAATTATACATACCGACCTAAAACTTGAAAATATTTTGCTCTGCTCCACCATTAATCCCACCAAAGATCCAATTAAATCTGGGCAGTCCCCTATTCTTGAAAGGCCTGACGGATTCCAAAATGGGGGAGCGACCATGAATCTCATTGAGAAAAAGCTAAAGCAAAGGGCAAGGACTGCTGCAGCCCGGCTATCTGGAAGACAATCTTCCATGGTCGAGGGAACAGATACAAAGCCCACAAGATCTCTTGATGGAATTGACTTATATTGTAAGGTTGTGGATTTTGGAAATGCTTGTTGGGATGGTAAGCAATTTGCAGAAGAAATTCAAACAAGACAATACAGAGCTCCTGAAGTAATATTGCAATCTGGGTATTCTTTTTCGGTTGATATGTGGTCATTTGCTTGTATTGTGTTTGAGCTTGCTACTGGTGAAATGATGTTCACGCCAAAGGGCGGACAAGGTTTCAGCGAGGATGAGGTATGTCATTTTTTCCCTGTTGTTCCTTGATTGTGTTGGTAGAGCCCGTACTCTCGTCAGTTTGGATGTAGGGTTTGGAGGGGAGGTGTCTATATGCTGATATATATTTCAGCTTACATTAAACTGGAAGGAATTACATAAAACTCGTTCGTCCTACTGCCCTAGTGTCTAATTCATTTTTCAGTCAACTGGACAAATTTTGATCATCAATTCATAGATGTTAGATGATTATAATTAATTCTATCTCATAGCCAAATCTTGACGGAGAGAGTACAATATAATGTGCTTGCTTCTCTGTTCTTGGTTCAAACATGTTTTCTCGACCCTACTATATTATTCAAGATAAAAAGGAAAATTTGAAAGATTTTTTTTATTACTTCAAGAGCTGTGATTAAACGATTTCAAGCCAAGTTGAACTCTGGTCAGGATCATTTGTTAGGGATTTAGAGGTTTTTTAGATTGTTCATCTACAAAATGAACGAATGCTAGTCGAGTCAAATATTTTGTGCTTATGTTTGTTTGTTGTTCACGAACACATATAATTTTAACGAGCTTGTTTGTAAACAATGAACAAGCAAATGGGTGTATGCCTGTAACAAACAATCAAATAAAGAAACAGACATCAATTCTCACACTCCTGAATTTTATCTTGACGTATGTGTAAATCAAAACTAGAATCCCTATGAACTCAATGGTATTTTATGAACTCAAATTAGAAAGTCTAACCGAGCAAGCTCATGAACAAGGGTAGGAAACATTAAGTTATATGTTCATGAGCTATTATCAATTTGACTTTGTTTTAGCTCTTTTCGTTTGATACTGAGATCTAAAAGAAAGCTTGTTTATTTTAATTTAATTAATCAAATGAACATGAAGCAACACAAAATAATCTCAAACACGTGGTGCTTCACTGAAATTTCTATTCAGTTATATCCCTTGTCATGTGTTTTGGTCCCAACAGTGATCTGGCATGACAAACAGAATATGCTTTCTATTGTGTTGGTTTGATTATCATGAGTATAACATGATTTAAAGCACATGAATCTGTTATTCGAATTCACCTTAATCTCTAATAAATGTTTTTCAACCTTTGCCTCCCCCCTAAAAAGGTATTATTATCTTCAATGTAGGATCACCTTGCTCTTATGATGGAGGTACTTGGCAAAATACCTCGGAAGGTAGTAGCTTGTAGAAACTATCTGAATTATATTTTTTTCATTTGAAAATTTTCCTGAATACGGTTCCTAAAATTTTCTTGCTATTCATAAAACAGATGGCAACTAGTGGGGTCCGATCTAAAGACTACTTTGACAGACATGGTGATTTAAAGAGGATCCGACGACTTAAGCACTCGCCTCTGGATAAACTATTAGTTGATAAGTATAAACTCTCGAAAGAGGATGGGGTTGAGTTTGCAGAGTTTCTTCGTCCCCTCCTTGCTTTTGAGCCAGAGAAGCGACCAACTGCACAGCAATGCCTGCAGCACACATGGCTCAATGCTAATAAGGGTTTGAATCCGAATGAGATCAGCGGCGAATCTGGCTTTCATAAAGTTAATGTTGGGATGAGCAGCTTTCATGTTAAGGTGGGTAAGTGATAGTAGGGTGATCAATATGACCCCCACTGCATTTGCCCAAGTCTTACCACAGGTTTGTTAGTGCGCATACGATTCATCCTCACTTACCAACACAGCCACATCCTCCCTGTGGATAAAAGTAAGTTAGAGGATTGGGAGAGAGAGCCAATCCCAGTCATATGCCCCCAAACTCTCTCTCTCTCTCTCCACGTGTATGAAATTTTGACCACTTAGATTCAACCGATTTTCCAAAGTTCCACTTCATTCATTACCAGAATGGCCAATCAAATGATCATAGTTAACACTGAACTAGTATAATCTTGAGCCCCCTTCAGGAATATGAGAGGTGCGGGTTAGCATTACAATCTACAAGACAACCCCCGTCCCAGATTTCATCCGTTCTTGAAAAGATGCTACTCGGATGAATTTTAGGCTCCTTCAATCATATGGGACCTATTTGGAATTGGTTGTTAGCTACTTAGCTCTTTGTATCCGCGTATTGCTTTAGAAATTTAAATGATTGTGTTACCTGATTGGCAAAAAAATGTTTTGTGAAATTAGTTATTTGCAAATAATTGCTTGTGGATACAAATATAAAAAGCGCATTTGTCATTAACTTATTACATTCTTTATGGTCCATTTGGTACAAAAAATTGATGGAATTAGAATTGAAATTCTATGAAATTGAATTTGATGGAATTGAATTCTCCAGTTCCAATTTATTTTTGGCACCACTGATTTCAAATTCATCTATTTTTGTGGTATCAAACACTAGAATTGGAATTGAAGTTCTCAATTCTAATTCCACGGCTTGAATTCCGTGTACCATACAGAGCCTTAGTAAGCTTCTCTATTTTTTCACCGATTCTAATGTTCCACTTTCACCATAGTTATCTATTTTTGTTATAGATGATTAGATGCACGGTTCTTTTATTTGTGGTATATTGGTACTTAGCGCACGCTACTAAGAAAATATAATTTAATTTCTAACATGTTCATAACTAAGATATTTATTAGTAGTCCATTCCGAAATAGTCTATGATTGAGACAGAAATAGTAGTGATTATTTGCGAAGGGGATATGGATCTAATCTCATTGAAGTCCGAAGATTGAATTTTTTTCTTGATATCATGTTTTAATTTTAAGAGTAAATTTCAAAATGGTCTTTTCTAAAAGGTGTTTTCTCAAATGGGTCCTCAATAAATAATAATTACCAACATAATCCTTTGTAATTGAGAAGTATTTTCTAAATAGCCCTCTGTCAAAAATGTTTATTAAATGACAGCTAAATTTGGAATATTTTTAGATTTTTTTATCATCTAAATTATGAATAAGCCTTCAAAATGGTTGTTTCAAATTAATTGGGTGGCCGCTAGAGGAACGAGCCCACTCTGGTAGGCTCAAGTAGGCTCAGGGACTCCATTTTGGAAAAATAATTACTTAGAAATTATCAGTTTTGACCCCATAACGTGTGTGATATAAATGCAGAGTAAATGCAGAAGTAAATAAATAAGTCCAGTCCAAATAAAGTAAAACGACAAATGGTGGGTTCATACCCAAATGTTAAATTAAATGTATATAAATATTAAACTTGTCCGTGCGCCGCCCATCTTCCCATCATCACTGTCCTCCAGGGTTAGCACCGGTACTGTCATGTCTACCTGCGTGTAGCAAAAACAACTACACGCTTAGCAAAAGCTGAGGAGTGAATCTAACAAAAGAACATAAAGTGATAACCTATATGGTTACATATATATTAATACCTGTACTTAACGTACGGAAACCACATGTTTACTAACTGATTAGTTTTCACCTGTTGGGATACTATTTCATATAACAAGATGAATGGAAACATACATGATGACGATATGACTTGATGCATGACTTAAACTATCAGGGACACCCCTGGCTTAGCCTCACTTGACAGGATCACCCCTGCACTCCGGTTGTCATACCGAAATGGTAATGAGCCGGGAACAAGTGGACAAGCAAAACCGGGAGTGATGGGGTTGTATTATATTGAGTTTTAATGGAAAGAAGCTATTGAATAGGCCTTAGTGAGTGTGGAGGGGGGCTGAACCAAGAGGTATGGAGGTTACAAATATTTATTTACTCCGTTATGTAAAAATCTGACATGAATGGTACGCGTTTCCCCCCCGAACGAGTCTGAATTGAGATCCGTTTGTATTTTTGTAATCAGCCAGTCAAAACGAATTTAATGACATGTTCAAATAATTTTTCTAAGAACTTTTATTTTCCCCAACTCTGGTCCGGAACAGTAATTAACTATTTAAAACAATCAATTCTATTAGACCGGGTTGCAGGGCGTTACAGAGTATTTTGAGAATATATATTTTAAATCTAGATGATAGAAAATACTAAAGTACATTCTATTTGCCTGTCATTTAATAGACATTTTTCGTAGAGCACTATTTAGGAATGCATCTCAATTATAAAGGATCATACTGATAATTGTTACTTATTGAGGACTAATTTGCGAAAAAACCCAAGGACTTTTTTGGGAATGAACTCGTTTAAGAATCAAGGATGTTAACACAAAGCTCTAAATATCAGAAAATTCTTTTGTAGACCTAAGGTCCATGCTCATTTTATGGTGTTTGGTGTATTTGTAGCATATAAGAAGTGTGCCTTTTACAGAAAAATATCCATATGTTAGCCCATGAAAAATGTGAGAAGGTCCATATTTTAAATGTGGACATTGGAAACATATAAACATCACTCTTAAATATCAAATGTGTCTTCCACTTAAATGCACATACTAAAAGTATTAGGGATGAGCATGGTACGGTATGGTATGGTATTTAGCTCGTACTGATACCGTACCAAATATTTCGATTCGGTATGGGATTTTACTCCGTACCGATCCCGATCTCGAAATATCGGTTCGGTATGGTTTGGGATGGTTCGGTATCGGTTTCGGTACAAATCGGGATGAATATACATACCTACTTTACACGTTAAAATTTAACAATGCTCCTTTATTTTTGAAAATTAAAAAGTGAATTTAAATAAAAAACATGAAAAATTTGAAAAAAATAATATTTAAATGAAGGAGATGCGTATCAAAACTTTGTTTATATTTCACAAACTAAAAAATGAACGACAATAAAGGAGTATTTCAAATCTTTGTAAATACATTTATGTTCATAAAAAAAAACTAAAATCAAATAAAAGTATAATTTACACATAATAGAACTTGAACCAATTTTTTTTGAAAAAAAATATTATTTAGTGAAGAAATATAAAAATATTACTCCGGGGTATTATTATTTATAATATTTTAGTATATAAGTTCGGTTCGGGATTTTCGGTATGGGACGTCACCTCGTACCGTTCCCAAGTACCGTACCGACCATTCGGTTCGGTACGGTTCGGTTCTTTCTCGGTATTTTTTTGGTTCGGTATTTTTCGGTTTGGTATTCTCGATTTTTTCGGGAAAATTTCGGTATCGGTTCGGTACTTGCTCACCCCTAAAAAGTATGCACATTTAGTGTTTGGGCCGGGCAAGGTCCACATTTAGTATATGTGTTATTTTAGTATGCACATTTAGGGCAATATTTTAAATGTGGATCTTGGAACCATATAAGCATCACTCTTATATGTGGTATTTTAGTATGCATATTTGTGGCACGCAATTGACGGGGTGCAGGGGAATGTTCGTGACGGGCCAAGGGTGGGGGTTTACCGGAGGGGTTACCGGGGGGGNCGATTTTATACTGGTTCGGGAACTCCCTACTCCAGTACCTCGAGGCTCCTCCTCAAGGATTTCCGAATCCACTAAGTTCCGGCCTCTTGAACTCTGTTAAAGCACCGCAATAGTTTGGCAAACAACACTTGCCAATAGGATTCACTCTGAGATTTCACTATGGCTATCTCGAACCGTTTACAATGAAGATTTAACGGCTATCTTCTATCGCTCACCCAAGGATTTCAAAGGCTATTCTTGAACCTTTACCCAAGGATTTATACGGCTATTCTTAACCGTTACAATGTGAGAATTTAACGGCTATTCTCGACCGTAAGAAGGTGTGTTTGAAGACACAAAAGAGGATTCTACACAATGGCTAAAATATAAAAATGAAGAACAAAACTTAGCCGGTGTAGTAGGAAATTATACTCTCTCAAAAATAAACTATAAACTTATGAAAATGAGAGTATATAAATAGAAACACAAGCTCAAAGTGTGTGTATGAAATTCAGGAATTTAAGGCACTTGAACTTTCCAAAATATTGAAAATAATTAATAAAAGGATGAACACACTTAGAATAAAAAGAGAGGATGTTTAGAGCTTTGTTTCTTCAAAAAATATGAATGATTAGGCTTGTCTTTATAGATAGTGAAAGATGTTAATTAGCCGTTGGGAGGTGATTAGGGTTGATTTAATTCAAAATCATAAATCAGGAACAGTAACCTAACGGTTACGGTAGGCCGGTGCCGTCCACACGGTAGTAAGGTACCGTGCATACGGTAGGGTGGTACCGTGAGTGGCGGAACCTCGGTACCATGTAACACCAAAAAATCCATTCGGCTTTGGCGGTACCTGGTTAAGACGGTATGGGGGTACCGTGTAGGCAGTATACCCTACCATTTGGGCGGTATTGGGTAACAGTAGAGGTACCGTGGCTCTGTTTTGATTTTTGCAAACTTCCCTTAATCCTTCGTGTTTGAGTTTAAAACCTTTTAGATTTTTGAAAATGTTTATGGGATGATTTTAAACATATTTTGTGAGTGCTTTTGAGCTTGTGAATATAGGTATATAGAATCATATTCTTACATTGGTTTCTACCTATATTCTACGCTAGTTTGGTGTTTCAACTTCATTCTTGAGTACCGAATCTTAATGGATTCTTGTTGTACCTGAAACACTTAATCAAACGTCAAGCTCTTATATTGTTTGTTAACATCAAAACATGAGGCTTAGCAAACCAAGGCTAATAATCTCCCCCTTTTTGATGTTGAGAAACAATATACTTCAAAGTGAGTTAGGCGGGAGTAAAATAATGAAGCAAACAAGCTCACCCTAAGAATAAGCATATTGAAAATACCCACTTTGAACTTTTTCTTGCGTTTATTAAAAGTTTAAGTTTGATGCAAAAAAATTACACAAGAATGCACTCAAGTCAAGTTGCATATGCACCACTTTGAAGTATACATCTTCTCCCCCTTTTTGTCAAAATAAAAAAGGGCATTTTGAAAATTTTAACCATGTATAACTTCTTGAAAACCCTCCCCCTATCAAAATGAATTTAAAAAGATTGACAGTTTGGAGATCATTGGGCAAAAGGTGCATTTACAACAAAACTCCTCCTAAAAACAAAAACTCCCCCTAAAATGATGCAAGTTTTAAAACTTTATTTTTCAAGGATTTTTGGGGATTATTTTCAAAAATTCATGAATTTTAAGAAATTTTAATCATGCAAACCAAGGCTAAAACAAATAAAAGTGCATATAGGGTAAGGTTTTATTTTTGAAAATAATTAAAACCAAACAAAATATCTTATCCCAATAAGTGAGAAGAATTTACCTTGGCTTATGCC